AGCAGACCGCTGTGGCCGGAACATACCCTGAGTCACCCGTGTTAGTGACAGGGTCGGAGACAGTGAGCGACGACAGCCCGACAATGATGGAGCCATACACTGATTACGCCGTAACCCCCACACCCATAGAGCCGAGAGCGCAAGCTCCAGGCGTGAAGCCAAGGGTGCAGGGCATGTTACGTTCGGCACGCCCGAGATTCAACTGAAGACGAGCCGATGTGGGAAAAGCGATATCCCGACGCCTCGCCATGCCGAGGCTGACATAGAAGGGTACGACGGCAGAGTCAGAGGGGTGACGGAGCAGAAGGCAGCTCGCGGCGTATCACAGCGCGATCGAATAAGAGTGAGGCCGTTTACTGGGAGGGGGAGTGCCACCCTAGAAACGTTCTTACAAAAATTCGATATAGCCGCTGAGTATAATGGCTGGAACGAGACTGATCGCACTGCAAAGCCTGCGGCGGTGTTGGAGGGGCCGGCGGCGGGAGCCATTGACGGGTGTACAGAGAACCTCTCTGAGTCCGCCCTCTAGGCTGAACTGCATAGTAGATTTTACCCGGCCGGACAGGAGCTGCTACATAAGGCGGCCATGGAGAAACGTCGACGACGGCCGGAGGAGACGTGGCTTGAGTATCCCAGGTAGTTGAAAAAACTCGTCAGNCGTAGGTACCACCACCAAGGACAATCCCGCGCAATCATGCCCTTGGTTCTTTGAAGTTTGGCAGCCACGTCAAGGAGGCGATGGTCGGTGGCACTCGGAGAGACGGCCACATAAGGTAGTGGCGAATTGCCGTATCGAACCGTTACTACTGTCAGAGAGTTCGCGCGTTCGTAGCTACATACTACGCCTGAGCCAGGCCTCGAAACCCTTACTCGCGTAGTGCGATCCCGTTCCTCTCCCTCCGCGCGCTCTGTGATAACCACACTCCAATAAGCGCGGTTGTGCTGCGGCAGTTCGCGTGTCTAGCGTACAAACTCACCTTCCCGTTGCGGGGTAAGCGAAGCCCGGTCTCGGACGTGAGCCCTATGCCTTCAATTCTTTCTTGGAGGCCTCTCCACACTTCCATCCGTCCAGCGAACAGGAAACCCTTTCGTGTAAAGGTCGGTCAGTGGTCTCGAGCCACGTCGGCGAAGCTGGGTATAAGCGATGCGTACGTTAGTTGGCGATCCAGGAAGCTTCGGACATCCATGACGGCAGTGCGGGGGAAGCCCCAAGTCCCTCACAGCTTGCAGTTTCTCGCGGTCACAGCTCACCCCTTCTGCGGCACACGTGGCACCGAGAAAGGCGACACGCTTTGTCTGAAGAGCTTCACACTTCAGTTGGCCTTTAACTTTAAGTCCTGCCCGCGCAACCATGCAAAACATTTTTGCAGGTGCTCAGCCGCCTCCATAAATGTTCGTCCCAAAGACGATGACGTCATCGAGTAGACAGGCATTCAGCCCACTGCAGCCCCCGGAGACGAGCTCCATGAGTCGTTCAAACGTCGCCGAGCGTTGGCTAGGGCCGAACCCCCCCCCCCCCCCCCCCCCCCCCCCCGAACATAACCTGCCCCGAAGTCAGAGCCATGCTTGTTTCTATCGCGCGTCTTCTCCCTATTCTTCGGGGGTTGCATTTCGCACCTGCCAGTAGCGACGGCCGAAGTCAACGTAGAAAACAATTTGACTACCGGCGAGGCATCTAGCCTGTCGTCTGATCCTAGGTTGAGCGTACGCATCCTTTCGCGTCGCGATCATTAAAACGCCTGCGTAGTCACGAAAAGCGAGTGCTGCCATCTCTCTGGTCACCAGGACGACTCGGCGACGCCCACGGGCTGCTACTTCGGTGATTGACGCCAGCAGCCAACTTTTGTGATGCCTCGTCCATGACGTTTTCCGTCCCAGCGGCCACCGTCGCGGGCCCACCTGCTCGATGGGTAGTGGTTCCCGTGTCGATCGGGTGGAGCACACGGTCGGCGTGCGTCCCAACGGTTCCCAGGCATGGAATAACAGGTCACTATTACTGGCCAGAAGCTCTGCCAATTTTTTACATATCAGCGTAGGTGCCGTCATCCGCACGCTCCACCACCAGCTGCACAGCGAGGCTGCGGCAGCGCGTACCAGTTGTCTCGTCTGGTTACGAACCCGGGCGAGGCGGCCAACTCAATGGGTGCACCCGCGCCGCCACCTTTAGGTGAGCTAGCTTCTTTACCCGGTGCTATGACCACCTCTCCTTCACCGAAGTTACACTACCGCATAGGGGGACTTTCTCTTTAACGGTATCATAGACTTCCGCTCCATTCAAGACTGTAAAAAATTTTTTTTTTTTTTTTTCTCTAATTTTTTTTCATATAATATATTTTAATAATATTAATAATTTAAATCAATATCGAATGGACCCATAATAATTAAGACACAAGATAGAACAAGAACATAGAGACCGATAGATCGGGTCAGCAATCGCAGTTGTCCTACTTCTCCACGGCCGTTTGCCAACAGAACCGTCCACCACGGCGCCGGCCACCCCAGGAATTCATATAGTGCGGACAAGACAGAATACACCCGCCGCGGCTCTAACCCTCTTCTCATGTTATGCGACGTGCAGGATGCCACGACTGATAAGGTGGCCGCGAGCCCGCACTGCTGCGGTCCACCCCCCCCCCCCCCGCCCCCCCCCCTCCGTTGGCGTCGGCTAGCGAGGAAGTCCCATGCCCAGGATGCCGTACCTAGTACCTATCTCAGCTACGAGGCATTTCCTGCCCATTACCTCTCTTCCCGACGGCAAGAAGTTGCTTGATATCGTGCCGAGCACTTCAACGGTCTTGCCTGCACGTCGTACTTACATGCTAGGCGTAGGAAACCCCTATACACTCCATGGTCCAACAGGGTGGCATCAAGCGCCTGTGGTCGATCATAAGTCGAAGGCCGTCGGCCGTAGCCATCGATCACGCGTCACGTGCCACGATGCCGTCGATGGTTGTACTGACCAACCGGCTGGTTGGTTTCAATCTCCCACGCTGCCACACTCTTACCCTGGGTTAGAAGTGTGGATCCACTTCCGGCCCCTTTACCGTTTCCCGGCGGTGTGCTAGAGGTCGGGTGGTCGGGTCGCACTTGCGCGACTGCCTGTTTATCGGGCACTCGTTTTGGCCGACGGGTTGGCCACCACGGCATTCTCGCATATGTGGCCTTGCCGTACCGCACCTGAAACAAGGATCGGGGTCATCGCCGACCTCACGTCTACATCTCCCCGGTCATCGCCGACGCCAGTGCAGCTCGGCGGTTTTCTGTAGTGTGGCCTTCTTGCATCCCATGCGTAGTTCAAAGACCGCCGCCCCCGTCACGTCAACAGTGCGGTACGTCGAAGACGCTCCCGCCATGATCTGCTGCCAGGTCGGCCAATCGTTCTGGCGTCCATCAGCTGGTCGTGCTGGTCCAGGGTCCCCGGCAACGGGCCCGGTGAGCTTCGGCAGCGCGTTGCCCCCTCTGCTGTCCAACTTGTCCTCGTGACGGCTTCTTGCATGGCGTATCAGCTCCAAACAATCGCCTGTACTCCGTTCCGTGGAACGGCAGCCTGCCTTACCGTTTTATCATGCTGGCCGCAAGCACGTATAGCCTGGCGACACTCGGTAGGGTTGTCAACAAACCTTCCACCACGCGCCCTCGCTCTGCTGGTCGGGCGTGGAGTTCGGGAAGTGCGCGCGCTGACGAGGTTTTTTTCAAACTACCTGGGGATACTCAAGCACGTCTCTCCGGCCGTCTGTCGGACGTTTCTCCATGCCGCCTTATGTGAGCAGCCTCCTGTACGACCTGAGGATTGAACATCGACCCGGCAAGCAGCATGTTAACGCAAATGGACTCTTGCGGCCACCCGTCTGCAGAAAGTGCAGGAGGACGGACTGTCCAGACTGCACCGCTAAAGAGGCGCAGAACAGAGTAGCGGCCAGGTTACACGAACAGGTTAGAGTAACGGCCGTCAATCCCAGTGGGCCGCCTGCATCGCCGTTGGAGCAGTAGAACGAAGAGCAATTAAGAGAATGGCAGCGAGGCGATGCGTCTATACGACGGATTGTTCAGCTGAAGACGAGCAACCAAGAACAGCCCGCGTACTAGGAGATAGCGGGCGAGTCGCGAGACGGCAAGAGCTACTGGGGCATGTGGGAACACCTTGAAGTACGGCGAGGGCTGTTATACCGCTTATGGATCCTAGAGAACAGGCCCAGCGTAACAGTTGCACAGGTAGTGGCGCCGCCGACGCTCCGGCGAGAAATAATGGACTTGCTGCACGGGGGCAAGATGTCTGGACATCTGGGGGTCACGAAAACGTCAGCCCGTATTCGGCAACGTTTCACCTGGCTGGGGCTGAGAGGTAACGTAAAGAGGTGGTGTCGGCAGTGCGACCCTTGCGCCCGAAAGAAGGTCGTCGCAGGAGAACTCGGTTACAGCAGCAAGCCGTTGGTGCACCCATGGAGAGAATCGCGGTCGATTTTCTGGGGCCATTACCCCGCACGGGGCTCGGGCATGAGTACATTTTGGTAGTCTGCGACTACTTTACCAAGTGGACGGAGGTGTACGCCCTTAGCGACCAGACTGCACTGACCACGGCGGATTGCCTCGCCACAGAATGGTTTACGAGGTTCGGCACACCGCTGCAGCTCCACTCCGACCAGGGGCGCAACTTCGAGTCAGGCCTCTTCGGGGAGACGTGTAAACTGTTGGGAAACAAAAAGATGCGGACAACCCTCTACCACCCTCAGTCTAACGGACTAGTAGAAAGATTTAACCGTACGGTGCAAGAGATGCTTTCGAAGGTCGTTGGTGAACATCACGACGACTGGGACGATCTCCTTCCATATGTGATGGCCACCTATCGAGGAACGGTGCAGAAAAGCACGGGGTGTAGTCCCAATCTGAGGTTGTTCGGACGGGAAGTAGGACTTCCCGTCGACCTGATGATAAAAATACCCCCGGGGACTTTCCCGCCCGACTGCCCGGTGGCCTACGTTAAGTGGGTAAGGAAAACCACTGAAGAGGCGCGTGCCTACGCACGCGCTCAACTCGGGCAAGCGGTGGAAAGGCAGAAAAGGAACTACGACCGGCGGGTAGTGCCGGCCAACTTCAAACCGGACACGTGGGTATGGTATTTCTACCCCCCGCTGATGGGAAGCTCGGTAGGCCGTCGCAAGGTCCGTACCTAGTGGTGAAGGCCCGGGGAAACCTCAGGTAGATTCAGAGAGAGCAGCACGCCCGGCCAAAAGTTGTCACCCTAAACGAATTAAAATTGTACGAGGGCGAGAATGCGCCGGCAAGATGGCCGCTCACCGAGAGTGAAGACGCAGGCGACAGAGAAGACGGCGATCACCACAAAGGTGAGATCACCGTCGGCGACATAGACGGCGATCACCACGGGGGTGAGAGCACCGTCGGCGACACAGACTGCGATCACCACGAGGGTGAGATCACCGCCGACAGAGAAGACGGCGATCACCACGAGGGTGAGATCGCCGCCGACAGAGAAGACGGCAATCACCACGAGGGTGAGATCGCCGTCGACAGAGAAGACGGCAATCCCCGCGAAGGTGAGATCACCGTCGGCGACATAGACGGCGATCCCCACGAAGGTGAGATCACCGTCGGCGACATAGACGGCGATC